GTCCTATCACAACAGGCCCTCCTGAACAGCCTCTCCCCATCTTTCTTGTAGGCCCCCTTGAGGTACTGGAAGACCGCTATAAGGTCACCCCGGAGCCTCTTCTTCTCCAGGCTGAACAGCCCCAACTCTTTCAGCCTGTTCTCATAGGAAAGGTGCTTCAGCCCTCTTATCATCTTTGTGGCCCTCCTCTGGACCCTCTCCAACTGGTCCCTGTCCTTCTTATGTTGGGGACTCCAGAACTGGACGCAGTACTCCAGGTGAGGTCTCACGAGGGCAGAGTAGAGGAGGAGAATCACCTCCCTTGACCTGCTGGCCATATTCATGATGCTCCTCTGTCCTTAGGAGGTGGTCTCTACCAACTGTGAAAAGGAGAGATTGTTTTTCAGATGTTCCTGTTCATGCTCTCTACTTGGCTATATCTAGGCATATATGTTGACTTCATTGTAAGTGAAAAGTTCAATTTCCTAGGCTTTTAAGCAGAGCCACAGGCAGGAGTTCTAAGGATCTTCTCTAACTGTAGAAGCATGTCACGTATGGTTCAGTTTCTCAAATAGCTGTCCTGTTAAGGAGTGCAGTTCTTAAAGTATGTGTTGGAAAAGTTGCAATGTGCTTGTGGCTTGTTTTCTTTCTTGTTGCTTTCTAGAGCTATAAATAGATTTTGTTTTGTGATAGCGCAAGGAGAAATTTGCTCTTTATATCCTTAAATGTGCTTTGTATGTGGCAATCCGCAGAGGAGAGGCTTTTGTAGCTGTGAAGTATGTGATCAGCCTTGGGAAAACAAGCTGTTTCTTGGCTTGGATTTGCTTAGACAACTCTGAGTTGACAACAATATATTTGATGCCAGATAAAACTGTCATTCCTTCTTAAATCACATTTATCAGTGATGCTGTCTGAGGGAGCGTAATGGTGTGAGTGACTTCTGTGGGCAGCTTTCTAGAGGCTGCTGTACACTCTTAGTTAAAATGAAAATAAAATGTTTCTTATGGCCTTATTCTAGCATGTTAAACAATTTTCTACAGTGACCTAAATAGAGGAAGAAATTAAAATGGGTAGAATTGAAAACTTAAAAAAAAACAACACAACACACCAAGCAAACCAACACCTACACAAAGGAAAACAAAAACCTCCATGACTACTTTGTGCAAAGTGACTCATTCAGAGACAAAAGACAAGCCCCTTGCGATTGAAGTCTGCTTTCTAAATAGTGTAGAAGCTTGAAAGACTCATTCTGCTGTATGGGGAGGTGTATGAAACTCAAATGTCTGAGTTGCAGCTTGCAGGATGAGCCAGGCCTTATATGACTTTCCCTGAAACGTCTTCACTAGATGTTTGATCCTGTGTTTTGTTTAGGGTTACACGTTTGGAGGTGGGAAAAAAAAAATCTAGGTGTCACTCCAAAACCGACAGCTACTTTTTGATGTTACTAAATACTTTGCAGTTACTAAATAGCTTCATAGCTGGTTTTAAAAGTTGTCAGTTTTTTAGTTACTTGTCACTTGTTCCTAGAAGACTGAATGGAAACCCACATAAAAGGCATGCTTTTACAAAGACTGTGAAGAATTTGTGAAGAGTTGATCAGAATTAGTTTGTGTTCTTTTGCAAAGCCTGAAAACTAACCTTCGCAGTTCCTTTTCAGTACTTTTGAACTAGTTGAAATTCTTGGAGGAGGAGTGCATTTAAGGCTGTAGTGAACTGATGTTTGATTTGCGAACAGTCTGTTCTTCCATCTGGATTAAAAAATCCTGACAAGATAATCCAATTGAGATCATAATCTTGTTTATAGCTCTGACCTTGCATCACAGAAAATGCATCGGTCTTCAAGTGAGCACTGGTACACTAATAAAAGGTCTGGGTGAGAGACTGTGGATGCCTTGAACATTGTCTTAAAATTGGAAATGACAAATTAGGATTTTTTTTAACGGCGTTGCAGACTGAGATAGAGGAGGAAATTGTAGAAAAGTGTTGTCCTAGAAGCAGGATCAACAGCCCTGGGGCACACAGGAAGGGAAAACAGCAGATGTTGGCAGCATGGTGCAGGGTCACTGTACCCCTGGGGCAGCTGGAAGAGGAGCTGCTTTTGGTGGCTGGAGGTGAAGATGCTTTCCCTGTACTTCAGCAAAGTAGACGTGCAGGAAGCGAGTGGGATTTGGCTCAGTGGGGAACCTCTCATCTGCTGTCCTGAGGAAAAAAGGCAAGCAGGGCTGTTACTATTCCTGTAGCGTTTTTCCAGTCTGGGTCTTCACAGGGAAGTCATGCCTGGAGCAGTTGCAGCTTCTCAGCCAGAACGCTGGTGCCTGGTGTAAATGGTTAGAAGCTCTTGGTAAAACTCAGTCTGTGGTAGATCTGCTTCTGCCCATCTTTGCTTTATGCTGCTCTGGTACAGTGCAAACTGAGATATACTGCCCTGTTTCTCTTTGTTCTGTTATTGACTTGGCTAAGCTAGGGATGTTTCCTTGACTCTGAAGCTATTATTTTGAAGGAGTTTTGTTCTTTCTCAGTTTTGTTTCCATTTACAACTGAATTTTCAGTTGGAGGGTTTTTTTAGTAAACAAAAATTTTATACTGGAGGTGCAGTTTCCCTGCCAAGGTACAGGTTGTGTTACAGGAGGTTTGTTAGATGCATATTGTTTTGACAGAGACTGGCAATTTTGATTCTTGGTCATTGTTTTTGGTGCATTTTATATTTGCCATACCTGTGCTTACTTGAAGTAACACAAGGTAACTGGTGATATACTCAATTTTTCCACCTGTAAGTTCAGCCAGTTGTTTCCCACTGTTCAAACTACCAATCATTTATTTACCATCTCGGGGCTGAAATGAAATGAGCTGGTAAGGCACATGCATGTACAGATCCCTCTGTCCATCACATGAATAAATATATCTGTTCCAAGAACTTTGCTGTATTAGGTCACAACTGGATTTACCAGATAGAATGAAAATAAAGCCCCAGATGCTTTCAATAAAACTGGAGCCTCATCTCAAATCAGTGATGTACCAGGCTCTGGGAAAGCTCTGGAGGTAGATTTGTAGCTTGTACATGAAGGAAGGTTAGAAGGAAGTTTCCATTTACCACTGATGTTTGTCTTATGGTCATGATTTTCAGAGTGCATTGAGATTGGAAGCTTACACAAGAAAACAGTTCAAACCAAGAACCTTAAGCATAGCTCTTGTACAGTCAGGGAAAATTAAGGTGTAAAGGATAGTCTGAAAGACTCACGCTTGAGCATAACTCTTCTGTGACCCTGCCACGCATGTAGGACTCTTTTCAGATCACAGGGCACATGGGTATATGTGTTTTAGGGGGGAGTCAGTTTTCTAAAATTAATTGTTCTTGGCTTTTGTTTCTAGGGTCACATGATTCTTTCAGCTACTGGGTTGATGAGAAATCTCCTGTGGGACCAGACCAAGCCACAGCCATCAAACGTTTGGCCAGAATTTCTTTGGTTAAAAAGATCATGAAGAAATGGTCCGTGACTCAAAATTTAACTTTCAAAGAGCAGTTAGAAGGTGGGATCCGCTACTTTGATCTTCGTGTATCTTCCAAACCTGGGGAAATAGAACAAGAGATTTACTTCATACACGGCTTGTTTGGCATCAAAGTATGGGATGGGCTGAAGGAGATTAACACCTTTCTTGAGCAGCACCCCAAGGAAGTAGTCTTCTTGGATTTCAATCACTTCTACGCCATGGACGACAGCCATCACTACTTCTTGATCAACAGGATCCGCTCAGCATTTGGATCCAAACTTTGTTCTGTTGAATGTGTGGAATATGTGACGTTA